TGGTTCATCCACCATTTGCATCCGGAAGTTAATTCAGCCATCCCCAGGATAGCAGGGCTCCAGCATGCCTAACAGTTACTTGCGAAGACAAGCACCATCACTCCAAATGTCCCCCTCTTCCTCCTCTTTCCCCCCAGCTGTTATTGCTGAGCACATCATATGGTGTGGGATCTCCTTGGTCAGTTGGGCTCAGTTGTCCCAGCTGTGTCCCCTCCCAGCCTGCTCACTCACGGGGAAGGGTGAGGAGCAGAAGAGGCCTTGATGCTGCTCGGCAGTAGCTAAAACATTGGTGTGTATCAACACTGTTTTCATCACAAATCCAAAACATAGCATTGTACAAGTTACTATGAAGAAAACTAACTGTATTCATAGAATCATAGAAGTTATTGGGTTGCACTAGAAGCTCAAAGGCCATCTAGTCCGACCCACCTGCAGTAAGCAGGGACATCTTTACCAGAACAGGTTGCTCAGAGCCCCATCCAGCCTGACCTTGAATAGCTCCAGGGATGGGGCCTCCACTACTTCTTTTGGGAACTTGCTTCAATGATCAACCACCCTCATCTTGAAGTGCTTTTTCCTAATACCCATCCTAAATCTACTCTTTTCTAGTTTAAAACCATTACTCCTTGTTTTATTCCATCCAAACCCAGTATAATCAGGAAAATGTAGTTGTTAGTGAGGGGCTGAATCCTGTAGCCCAATAGCAGCAAAACTACTGCAGCTCCATGCCCCCAAGTGCACTCAATTACAAGGCTGAGCAGATATTCCCAGTGGGCACATGCACCCAAATATGCACGCATGACACAGGTAGACACAGCTGGCCACATAGATCAACAGACAGACACACACGGCACTCGCACAAACACCAGCAGCATCAATGGCTTCATCCTGTTCCTCTCTCTGGCAGATCAGGATGAAGATCCATTAGTATATGTAATTCCCACTAATGGACCTTCCTTTATTTATATACATGCACACATGCACATACATATATAATTGTACACATGCATATATGTGCAACATAACAGTCACTTATTTTGTTTTAGATACCATACAGGTTCGCTGGCATTTGGAGCCTTAATTCTTGCAATTGTCCAGCTTATTAGAGTAATACTGGAGTACTTGGATCACAAACTGAAAGGTGAGATTTATGAATCCGCTCTAGGTTATTAAGAACTCCTTTGGTAAACTACTTCCTTACTTTCCTAAGATGTTTTTTCAGCAATGAAAATAAATTAATTCCACATTAATTTTAGCCACTGTAGTTCTATTGTAAGCTAGTGAATTTGTGCTGATTTATTCAAATTGAGTCTTTGTCTTTGGGAACTTAATGCAGAGTTCATGCAGGATGTGGATCTGATCTAATTGAAAGGTAGTGAGCTAAATTTGGTTAAGAAAGAGAGTCCATACCTAGAGGAAAAGAAATAATGTTTCTGCTTTTGTCACAACTTAAGATTTTCTTCTAAATAGTTTTCTATGTTCTGAAGACTGTTCATGAGTTCTATGTACAATGTACTCTTTCCTTTTTCTCAGGTACACAGAACTCCTTCACTAGATTTCTGCTCTGCTGCCTCAAATGCTGTTTCTGGTGTTTGGAAAAATTCTTAAAATTTATAAACAGAAATGCCTACATCATGGTATGTGCTGTCTCTGCATGTGATCTCCCCTGTCTGAGACACTAAAATACTCTAGTCACTACTAGTTGGTCAACAACCAGCAGTACTAGAATCTGCTAAATAAATAATGGGATTTATGGGAGTTTTAAGGAAATGCATGTGGTCTTACCATGAAAAAGTAAGATTTTTTTTTTTTTTCCTCTTCTAAACTCAGCCTCCTTTTATGTCTGTCCTTACCCATCCTCCTCACCTCCCAAAGTTAAGTGGGAAGAGATGGCAGAACTAATTAACTCCCACTCTGATTCAGCAATTGAAATCCTGATTTCAACAGGAATATTAGCTTGTTTTATATTGCATGTTGATGACACTTCTGTTTGGAGGCGGTGTTTGAATAAGGAGGTGAGAAAGCATGCAGCATCTGTATTTCTTCCTGGAAGTTAAAAACACAAATTCTACTAGCAGCAGCAGCAGTGATATTTCTCTAAAATAGCCCTTCTTAGTTTCCAGAAGGTAACTTCCAGTTTTTCACCTAAATAAACATACACAGGTTTCAGCCTAGGATGTTCTGACTTGAAGCAATTTCAGTGATTGCATAGTACCGTCACAAACTTCTTGTCTCAAAGGAGGTGGCTGTAATGGGTCCATTATAACCCATGTTCGTGCAATTGATGTTTCAAATTAATGCCATCTTGAAGAGGAAGTATTGTTTTTGACAATCTTGTTTACAGTTGGTGAACTGACTGCACTGAGAGCTGTTATATAAGAGCTAGTATATCTTACCCTTTTGGAAACTATTCCAAAAAGAAGAAGTGGTTTTGTTCCTGAATAACTATAGCTGTTTTTCTGTAGGCTGATGTAAATCCACTGACTTTGATACTGGTATTGCTGATTTCTTCTTAAGTGAGAGCAGTGCCAGGTCCAAGGAGATACCTGCAGGGGTCAACTCACTTCTGCTCTACAAGTGCCTGTTCCTTTCCACTGACTATATATCTAGTGTAGGTAACTAGCAAAGTTAGAAGAATCCCTCAGCAAGTACCTTATTGGTACTTACTTGGCAAACTGAGTCTAGTGCTTTCAATTTCACAAGGGGTGGCACGCTTATCACCAGGTGATTTGAAGGGGAAAGATGGATAATATTCTGTCCTGACATGGTGGGAAGTGTTGAGAGGTAGCAGGTGACTTGGGGAAGTTCTTTACGTTCCTCTGAGTTTCAAGGCCACATATTAGAGAGAACTATGCATTATATGCAGTAAGATTCTGACATACAAGGAGGTATCCTAAATATTTAAAATACTTAACAGCTACTATTATTTTGCAGATTGCCATATATGGGAAAAACTTCTGCACCTCGGCAAAAGAAGCATTCTTTTTGCTCATGCGGAATGTGGTGAGGTAAGGGGCCATCTCCCAGTCCTTAGAAATATCAGGATTGCCTTCTGTCACACTCTGAAGACACACTTCTTTCCTCTCCCATATCTCCAAATATTATTGTAAGCTGCTCCTGTCGTCAGACACAGCTCTCACTTCCAACACCCAGTGTGTAACAGCAGGCTGTCCAGCACAGTAACCCATGCAAAGTTGATATAAACTAACAGTTTTGTTGTGATTGCTCTTTTAAATTCATAAGTACCCAGTAGATTGTAGTAGTGCCTCCAAGGAACTAGTGGAGCCTCTGAGAGGAGATCTATGGATATACAGGAATGGGGTGCTCATAGTCTGCCATATGTGTGTTTCTAGAGCTTTGGTCCACTGGCTGTCCTTGAAAAGGAAAGCAGAAAGACCTAAGTCTTCAGATTCATCCAGAAAGCTCATGGGGTGTCAGAGAGTGGCAGTAAAGAAGAGAGAGTACTTTGCTTTCAAAACCAGTATCTTTAACATAACCAGATCTCCTCTGGTGCTGGGAACTCCCCTGGCCCTTTTCCCCACTACCAAGACTGCTGCCAAACTCCCTGTTCTAATCAGTACTTTTCTTCATTGCTTCTGGCTCTTCCTGTACTACTGTGAGATCAAAAAATAATAGGAGAATAACTTAGGAGCAGGCCATGTTGATGCAACGGCAGACAATCTAATTACCAAGCAAGAGACACAGTAAAACTGGTTAGGTGGTTTAAATTTTTAAGTGAAGGACTGGGAGGAGGAGAGGAATGGAGGGGGAGGCTGAAAGAGGAAAATGGAGATAATGCTTTAAAAAGGAGAGGGTTGGAGATGGGAGAATGGAGTGCATTCACTTAGTTACCCTGCATTAATATTGGTACAGTGGTGTCCACACTGTCTGGTGCTTGTGCAATAGGAAAGAGAAGCTACCTTCTTTTCCTTTCAGAACATCACCTCACTGTCCTTTGTGCTTTTACTCATAATCAGTACGAGCAATAGCTAAAAGCCAGGCATATAACTTTATTGTTTCAAACAGAGATTTATATATTTTTTTTTATCTTGCGTATTTTGCTAATTCTGAATTCTGACAGGTTAATGATGATTTGTTCTCATTAATATTTCTTAATGTTTCTCTTCCATGGTAGTCAGTCCTGTATATTACCATATCCATAGCCTTCAGCAGTGTCAAGAGGCTGATGATACAAAGCTCATTTTCCATTCCATTATTTACCTGCAGTTTCTGAGAAGACAGGCTGGCAGGATTTCAAGCAGAAACTCCCTGCTGTTGCTTTCAACGAGAGCTGCAGATTTACTGTCAATTTTTCTGTCGACCTTCACTCATTCATCTGTGACTGTCTCCCTGCTTTGAGGCCTCCTGCCCTCAATGTTGTAACATGATATCTTAAAATAGTAGATTTGGCATTTATGGGGTCATGAAATGTGGTCAGATAGGACCAAATGAAAAGAAGCCCTACTGGCAATCTAAGCAAACACTGCTTTTTGTTTTGGTGTGTACTTTGCCTCTTCTGGACTTGCTTATCTGTGACCCTAGAAGAAAGGCTGAAATAAAAATATTGAGATGTTTTGGGTTTTGTTTTGTTTTGTTTTGGTTTTGTTTTTTAACCAGCAAGAGCAGTAAACAGTCTTCAAGTGCTGTAGCATTATTGCTGCACTAAGACCTGACTCAACAAGAGGCTCAGTGCTTTTTGCCTCATGGGATTAGGCTGTAACAAAGCCCATCTCAGTCTTGCGTGTCTGCATCCTTGTATTGTCAGCCTCTGAAACCAGCAGAAGACAGCTTCTTGGTCATGTTTTGTCAGTTATCCGTCGATGTAAGAAGAAAGAGTACAAGTGTCTGGTTTGTGATGACTATGTATCATTTGTCTTTTGCTGAACAGAGTTGCGGTTCTGGACAAAGTTACAGACTTCCTTTTATTCCTGGGGAAAATTCTCGTTGCTGGTGGTGTAGGTAAGTTAATAGAGTTTTTCCAAGCAGCATACTCTGTTTTCTGGTACCTACAAGTATGTCCGCCATATTCATACATGCTTAGTTAACAGCTGGAGGTTCTCATCGGTCTGATGATTTGGGAAGCTGTTCCTGTGTTTCTAGGATTTGCAAGATTGAACTAAAATCCTTTTTTTTTTTTTTTTCCCCCTTCCCCCCACTGCAGTGTGTTGTTGACAGCATTTTTTCCACAATTGCTTTTACTGCTCTTGCATGTGTTGCTGGTGCAAGGACTTCTGCAGCCAAAGCACTGTAGCTGGATGAAACCGAATTCACATCTGCTAAGTCAGCCACAATCTATTCCACTTTCATGAGAACTGAACAAAATTGCAAATGAGATTCCCCTGGTAGCAGACAGCATACATGCAAGAGGAGGTGGTTCAGGTCTGCAGGAGATAGGCCTGAAGCTCTGCTGTATTCCAGCCCATTATAGCTATAAACTATAGTAAAAGAAAAAGAATATTTCTAACACCCTTAGAGGGTTTTCTTAGTTGTCAGTAAATATAAAAATATATTATTAATGTTTTTCTGTGACAGAAAAGTGATTTTTTTTTTTTAAATTAAGCATTTTCAGAAATACAAGTTGGCAGTATTCCCTTACGGTTTTTCTAAACTGTCACAGCAATTTCAAAACATTGTTTTACAAATAACTGTATTTTGTATTCTATATACTTTAAAAGATTGCTAATGAATTGCTTTTAATCAAAAGTTGAAAATTAGTACCAAGAACAGATCTAAAATATTTTGTCATTACTATAGAATCACTTTCAAACTAGAGTAGCAAATTTAATTTGAAACATATTCTCTGAAATGTAAGCCATGAAATACTGAAATTTTAATTCATGTCTTCATCCGCTTTGAGAATAAATTCTTTGGGTGGTTTCTGTTTTAGATGCATTGGTCTGTTCTAAACTTATTGTTTTGTTTATCACTAGCACTGCCATTTGTCCTTTTAATCTAATAGCAGATTGAAATTATTCAAGCAATAAAATTTAAAGCAGCAGAATTTTTCTCATTCTTTTTTATTTTAGAAAAGATCCACTCAATGGTCTTTGTTATCCCATATCACAGAATCACAGAATGTCAGGGATTGGAGGGGACCTCGAAAGATCATCTAGTCCAGTCCCCCTGCCAGAGCAGGAACCTAAATGAGATCACACAGGAAGGTGTCCAGGCGGGTTTTGAATGTCTCCAGAGAAGGAGACCCCACAACCTCTCTGGGCAGCCTGTCCCAGGGCCCTGTCACCCTCCCTGTAAAGAAGTTTCTTGTGAAGTTTAAGCGGAACCTCCTGTGTTCCAGCTCACACCCATTGCCCCTTGTCCTACCATTGGCTGTCACCAAGAAGAGTCTAGCTCCATCCTTGTGACAGTCACCCTTTATATATTTATAAACATTAATGAGGTCATAAACATTAATGAGGTAATATCATTATCTTGTTTATCATTATTTATTGATTTTACTATTAAATCCAGTAGAATGATTAAATAAAACCCGATTCATTAAAGTCTTTCTGGGCCCATTAATATCTTTATGGTAATTGATTCATTTACATATCTCTTCTGTCAGAATACAGATCCGGCACAGATAATTAGCACTGAGGAATTTATTGTTTACAAATTCTTGTATAAACCGACCTTGGATCTGTTGTCTGTTCTGCCTTGTCCACTCTTTAGGTGTTAGGAAGTCAGCATAGGAATCACTAATCTTTTGTGCTTCTTGCAGGTGTTCTTGCATTCTTTTTCTTCACACAGAGAATACCAGTCTTTGCACAGGAAGCACCAACGTTGAATTACTACTGGGTACCATTGTTGGTAAGGCAACCACCTAATCTCCTGAATGCTGAGGGCAGTTTGAGGTGTTCAGACTACTTGGGGCATCATCTAGTAACAGCTCCTGCTGTCATCCTCTCAGTGGCATATTGATCCACTGAAATGAGGTCGGGTCTGGTACGCTCTAGTCCTTCAGGCAGAAGTGGCACTGCAGTGACTCTGCACCTTCAGAAAAATCAGATTTTGCATCTGCTTTGCTCAGACTTCCCAGACATCAAAGGCTGGTGGTGAGGCACTGATGATGACGGTGTGGCTTCTAATGGAAAGGACTTGTGATGCATCTCTTTCTCATTTTGCAGCCCCCCTAGACTCCGGAACATCTCCAGAATGAGTGATTCTTTAGAGTAATCTTGAAGGCGTTCAGAATAGCATATAGTCTCTTTGGGAGTTGAAATGGCTCCAATTTGGCAGCTGGAAAACTAGCGACTACTGCATTTTAGGATACAGTGTCTTGAACCTGTGATCCCTTTCCACAGCAGTATTAACGTTTGGTAAAATTACAGAGCTGCCATTAAATCCTCCCAAATTTACTCAGCAGATTAGGCTTCTGACTTGTATTAACGCTGTTACATTGATCCCAAACTAAATTTGGGGGTTTATTGAGGTTTGTTTTTTTTCTTTTTGTAGACGGTCATTATTGGCTCCTACCTAGTTGCACATGGTTTCTTCAGCGTCTATGCAATGTGTGTCGACACGCTTTTCCTCTGCTTTTGTAAGTACTATGTTTTCTTTCACTAATACCTGCAAGTCATGGGGAGAGGAGTAGAAAACCACCTTATCCGTTCCTTACAGAGTTCTGGTGACATGCTAGCAGACTGAAAAATTAACTGCTGCTGCTTTTCAGACTGGCTCCTTGATTCATTCTTCAGTGCAGAAGTGTTTTAGTATTCCAATTAGTTTAAGTAATGGAAGGTAGCTCATGGGGATAACTGGCTTTTGATTTTTCAAGGTTCCTTTCATTAACAGTTTGCTTCTGGGTGTTCCGTGAAGACCCCTGTACAGCAATGATTCACTCAAACCTCTTGTTAATAACAAAGTTATTTGGTATATAGGTAGTCCTTTGTTTTCAACTTAATAGCCCTGAACAAAGTATTATGCTGAATTACCTTCAACTTTGTGTAAAATACCATTTAAAAAACTATCTGCGTCTTGGACCCCTCAATGGCAAGCAGTTATGGGCACTCTCAAAGGAACTGCTGTTCAGTGTGCCCAGTCAGAGAATACTAAAATCACAAAAGAAATCTGTTGATCTCAAATAAGGACATGATTATAAGAAGAGGATGTACTTATTACAAAATAATTCCACTTGCTAGATTTACTGAATTGAAGAAATAAAGATATAATTTTTCTATAATGAAAGTCTTTCCAGTAGGTCCAAGTAGAATTTACATGGCAGTGATTATTCATGCAATTGGTAAATTATTTGATAATACTAAGGGAATACTGAAATAGTCATAGTTTGTCCGATCATATGCACAGTGGATCACTGAGGCAAGATAAAGGTGGTAATACTGATTCTCCTCTTACAATAGCATAAATTCGTTATTTCCTTTAAACACTCACCTTCTTAACCCTACTTCCCTAGCAGTAATTTTGGAAATACTGGGTTGCTAAAGAATCACAGGAACAAAATCAGTCATAAAACTGAAAACTGATGTCTAGTTGAGAGCTATGTCCCACTTACCTTGAGTTATGGACTTTGATTCTAAACAAAGAGGTAGACATAGCACTAAAACACTCCAAGAAATAAGCTAAACCATAAATAAAGGATCACTATTATTTAGAATGAAATGGAAATTGATCAAACTAATAAACTTCAGAAAGTTTGTTGGCGCACTCAGAAATTAACAGATTTTCTTTTTAATTTATTCCAAAGACACATGGTATGTGCTGCCATGGAGAGATACGAAGATTTGCTTCCTCTAACCTCTTCGGCAGTTCATTACAACTAGTGCTCTCTTTTTTGGCTTTGCAGATACAGCTGTCTGTAATGACTGTGCTTCACTGCACGCTCCCTCCAGGTTGTCCATCAGTCTGAAATTGTTCACTGGTCTGTGACTACTGCACGGCATAAACACTGGGCTGAACCCAGACCAGTGATTTAGTAATGACCTTCTGTAGGAAAAAAAGTAATAAGTCTGCCTCATTATTTTAAATTCATATTCGGTTTTGCTTCCCATGCTTCCCACTGAGTAATGGGCAGTAGGAGATACTATAGAATATTGTGCACTTGTAGCATCAGGTTTTCAAAAGAAATTTCTCTTAGGCAGTGAAAAAGTGTCCAGTTAAAAAGTGCTTTAATCCACAGCTCTCTTTGGGACACATTTTCTAGCAAGAAGTAGCCAAAATGCCAGGCTTCAGTGGAGGCATGAATGTTTCTGAAAATTTCTGCTTATACTGCCAAACCAAAGAACTGGAGAATAAAAAAGATATATTGCTGTCATTTAAAAATGGCTAGATGTTTGTGTCTCTGCTTTGTGTAAAACCTATTCTGGTTTAAGAAAATAGAAATTTTATACTCAACGGTACAGGTAAATTGCCTTGATTGATTTTTTATTATTATTAATTATTTTTTTTAATTTTGGGTCTTCTGCTCTCTCCTTTCTTCAATTCTGTGTGTGTGTGTGTGTGTGTGTGTGTGGTTGTACTGCTGGTTGCTCTTTTGCCCGCTTTTGCTGTGTGAATTCAGGTGAAGACCTGGAAAGAAATGATGGATCTACAGCAAAACCCTACTTCATGTCAGCTAGCCTCCACCGAATTCTAGGAAAGAAGGAACTAAGCCCTAAGAAGGCAGTGGGATAACATACACTGAACCTCAACATCAAAACAGTGTCACTTTTAAGCAAAACGTGTATAAAATAGGCAAAAGTAAAAACTGTAAATGATGCTTCTGGTTAATGGGTGATTCTTTTTTCCTTTTGCTTTTATCTAAAAAAAATGAGCAACAGTTTAAATGCTTAAACTAAGAGCTGTGAAAACAAGGCCACGTTTTAGTTTATAGAGTGCCTATGAAAAGGAAAATGTAAATTTGAAGTTTTTTTAAGTCTATAATGATGTTTTAATAACTTTTGTAACACAAGTTGCTGCCTTAGATGACAGCAGTTTTGATAATGTTTCTTTTTATAAATGTATATTTGTAAAAGAAATTCAGGCAATTTTTTGAAAGCACTAACATACAACCTAATTAGCCATAAAAAGATAGTTCAAGACTCTCTAGTTAACCAGGAGATGGTACTGAATTTGTAAATACGGTGCTATGATTGTATTTTTTTGTACAAGCTGGTTCACAGCTATTTAAACTGTGATTATACATGCATTAATGATTCCCTACAATATAGTGATATTTTAATCACATCCACAGCTGCATCTTTTAAGAAATGATAGTACCCTGCAGGTCCCAAAGAAGGTAGTCAGATATCCTGCTTAAATTGAAGTTTTCTGTGAGTTGTGCTTAAAAGATGATACAACTGAGAGAAGGTTCCACTGCACTTGAAGTGATTTGTGGTTCACACAAATGAGGTTTCATCTGGTACAAGATTGTGAATGTATCATTTTCAGCTGATGTCTGAGAGAGATGCACTTGTGTTAATATCCCCCTATCTAATGAGTCTCTGATTGTGTTCTACATGATGAGGAGGTTGATCTTTGCTGAAAGGAAAACCAAACGCAGTCTTTTTTTCCTTGGAAGAAAGTCTTGGCTGTATATGCACAAGGAATTCCATTGCCTCTGCCTAGCTCGGAAGGGCTTCTTACCGAGATGTTGCAATGACCGTGCGGGTGCTGAGGGCTGGATGTGCTCTTTCTGCAGGTCTCCAGGCTTTCAGTAGCCTGGAGGCTCTCAGACTCCAGGCTCTCAGGAGGCTAATCCTTTAGGATTAAGGGATTAAGACATCAAACTCTAGTCTTCTCATGATACAGGATTAATTATTTAGCTACTTGAAAGATGCTCCAAAAGATTTAGTTTGCTTTTTGATTATTAAATTTCCCCAGTCTTTAGTGTGAAATCTATTGGTAGAAAGTGCATTAGCATTCTGTTCAGTTTTATGAGCCTCCCGTTAGCAGGACTGTCACTGAGGTTAGCGACAGCTCTGCACATGGAAGAAGTCTTACACTGGAGTACTTCTCTAGTCTGTTACTGCTATGAGCTGAGCTGAAAAGGTTTTGTTCTTAGTCTTATGGATGCCCAGGGACCCACCATACGGAGGCCTGTCCCTAGTTTTCATGGATTCTGCTGTACTGAGTAAGGTATTCCATTACCCTCCGCTTTCCAGGAGTGGCACGTGCCATGCCTCTGCCACATCTGCTTCAGGAGTTCAGCACCTGGAAACACTTTTCTAGCCCCAGGAGTCTGTTGGTGTCATGAAGAGAAAGGCAGGTTTTTTTTCCATGTGATTTGAATGCAGGTTTCTGGGGAAAATTTGCTTGACAGTCCACATCCCAGTTAGTAATTTTTGCTCTCCAATTTATGGCTCCAGGTTGTGATGATTGTAATCACTACAAAGGCACAAATACTGTCCTTTGTGCAACAGGTCTGATGTCATGTTGGTGTACAGGTGCTTACTGCCCACGTGCTTGCAGTCATGGGCATGGTAGGATCTTGAAATCCTGTGAACGGAGGTGCACGTGACAGGATACTTGTGTGCATTATTCTCCGTGGTCCAGTGGGGACTGTTGCCCTTTTCCCTGAAGCAGAAATGAGTGGTTCAGTCTAGGACTCAAATAATGTAAAATAAAGGTGTACAGCGACATTCAAACGTAACTACTGATTGTGGGCACCTCCAGTTTTTGATCACCCCTCTTCAGATACCCTAGAGTAAACCTGACTTTCATAAAGGGCTGAGAAACCTCCCTTCAGAAAAAATCAGACTCTTGAGTGATGAAGTTTTTCATCATCATTCCTTTCTCATTATGTGCATGGCATTGAATATACAACCCTTCCATTATTCTAACCTCTTCTGAGAATTAAGTCAGTAACTTTTGGGGGTATGTGTCACCATTCTCTGATTAAAAAAGCTGCTGGTCTGATTACAGCCCATGTACTAAAGCTTTTTTAATTTTTTTTTTTTTTTTAATACTACTGTGTGATTAGTTTGCAGCTAAAGAAATTGCATTAAGTAATTTATATTTCTACTGGACTTGAGTGTCTTACTGGGAGCTCAACTGAAAAAGTGTATTTCTGAATACAGCGTGCTTTTTTTATCATATGAATGTAACCATAGAGTTTACTAGGAATAAAATGTAATAGAAATAGTATACAGTTATTTGATTAGAAGACTTTTGTAACAAACCTATGCATTTACTAAAGGAATTTCTAAAAGTTAAAGTTTTAAATTGTATTATTATTTATATACAGTAAAAAAATATATATGTATAAATTTGCTCCACTCACTATTTTGTGAAATTATTTAGAATGTAAGTGATCATCATTTCTGAGAAGAAAATTTAAAAGCCATTTTCTTAATGAAACGATTATGAGAACTGTGAAAATAAAAAGCAATACCATGTAGATTTTGTAATCAATAAATTGAATAAATAAATTGTAAAGATTTAATATTAAAATTGGCTTTTTAAAAATGAATTGCTATTAATTAAATTAATTAAGTAGAAATTAATGCAGGTATTTACTTGGGAAAGAATCACTTAGAATATTTTAAGATGAACTTATTATAAATGGTTCCTCACTAATCCTGTGGGCCAGAGTCTGCAGGCTTACACCACAGAGGAGGTACTAGCAGTGACGTTTATGGATTTGGACATTTACTTTGTTGCTTGATTTAGTATAAAATTTAAAATTTCATTCTTCACTTTAGAGAGTGAAACATGTGGCTGTCTATAACATGGTAAAATATGTCATATATGCCTTTCTCCTGAGCCCACGGGAGTCGGTGACAAAATGCCCACCCATTCCACGAGGCACAGGCCAGCTCTGTGACACGAGTGACGAAAGGCCAGTGGCTGTTCCCTGCTTACAGTGCAGTAGAGGAGGAGACCTTAGAACTGAGAACCTGGCGGGAGCCTGCCAGGTCAGGGTCCTGCGGGCCCCTGGCTGGGCACCTCCTCTCCAGGGAGAGGCTCTGGAAAGGCAGGGTGGCTCTGCAGAAAGGCCCTTCTACATGAATAGAAAGAACTCTGTGGAAGGTCTTGATCAAGCAGAATGTAGAAATCAAGAGACAGTAGAAAACACCTGCTATCATATCCACACAATCATGTTTGCTTTCGTGCTTGTTGGATTCCTTGTGTCTCCCTATGGCGTATTAATGGAGGGCTTTTATTTACATGTTTTATACCAAAGTTTTAATGTCAAGTCTTCAAATTAAAAAAAAAAAAAAAAATTTACCCCAGAAACAAAGGAACAAGAAAGATGGGATAATTTCTTATGCTGAGGGGTTTTTTTCCAAGTAGCATTCAGCAGCTGATTCTTGAGCGTTACAAGGATGCTGAATAGTCTTTTAAACATTAGTAGTTAAAAGTATGAAATATTTTACTGCTGTGTGTTCTGCTGTAGAACAGGAAAAAGCTTTTGGTGGATGCAATGTCAAGCTGATTCAGGCACAGTCAGTAAGTATTGTACAAATGGGTTGTCAGATAAGTGATGATGAAGAATAGCCTGACTGTTTTCAGTAATGTAGAATTTCTCGCTTCGACTAGTTGCTCAGCCTGGACGGCTGTGTTCTCCCTGACAAAGTGCCTTACTGGCTATTATTTTACCTGGCTTATATTTTGAAGTTTATTCACACCATGTAGGCTACAAACCAGAAAAGGCTAGATAGGAAAAACAATACTCTCTTTATTTCAAATTAGCAGATCGAAAAGGAATTGTAGAAAAGGTGTGGGATGTATTTGAACTGTGTGATGCAGCACACACGATTTCCTGTTGCTGTTGTCAGCTTGTGAAAGTAGCATGTGCGGTCCAGGAGAAAACACATGGCAATTGTGGTGTTGCAAATAATTACATAAAAACAACATAAGTGTGTTCCCTATTTAGTAAAATAATTTTTATAGCTTTAATTTTTGGTGCAGTGAACTGAGGAGGCCCTATTCTGCTTTCAGTTACTATGATCATATGTATTGTACCTGTGTAACTGTGGGGAGAAATGGGTTCTTGCTACTTAAAACAGAAGGAAGAAAGCTAGCAAATCCACAGTGTATGACTGTAACATGTTTGTGTCTTCATAACCATAAAGCTCATTCTCCCTTTCAAGACTGATAATTTGCTATTCTGGAAGTGTTTTATAAATTATTCAAAATTTTTTAACTTTTGATACAGGTGATGATTTTTGAGGTAATATGTAATTTGTACTGCACTGTAATCAAATTAGAAAGATAACTATTTCTTCATGTTTAAGTAACACTAGTGCTACTAATATTAAAATTGTCCATTACTCTATGCTACAAAAAGTCCATGTGTATTTGTCCCAAGTAAGAAGTTGTAAAATCACAAAAAAGGCTCTTCAAGGTTTAAGAAATGGGAGTTACCGTTTCATTAATGTGATTATTAAGATTATACTATTATCTCGCTGAAACCAAATTAACATGAGCACGATGGTTTGAGCTCTAAAACCTGTTTGCTTCTGCTATGCAGAAATGGGAACGTATTGTTTAAATATCTTTGATAACTAAAGTGTTTAATATTTAGGTTTTTTGTTACTTCACTGTTTTACAGCTCTTGGGGATTGTTCTAATAAAGATTTAGATACAAAACGCAGCGCGTGTCTTTGTACCGAGCGCTACCCGGCGCCGGCCCGCGGTTCCCCTACGGAGCCTCTGCGGGACCGCTTCGCGCTCGGCCGCACCCGGCCCGGGTCCCGACCCCCCGGCGGGGGAGCGGAGCGTCGCGTCACGGGGGGC